CAAGGGTGATGTCCAGCACTTCCCTACTAACAGAGGTCACAAAGGTGGGATCGTTCCCACGGTTATAGTAAGAGTATATAAAAGAATAAGGTCAAGCAAACACTCACCTAGGGAGTTGGTGTCGCTTGAGCCCCAGATCGTGTTATGTCAATTAGTGTCGGCCCCTATTATGACCGGCAGCTTTCTGCGAATTGCTTCCTTCAAAGCTTCTTCCAGTCTATAGGGTGGAAAATAATGGCTGTCGTGGGCCATGTAAGTTTTCGCCAGCCAGATCACGCTCTCGTTCAGTTGTACGCTGATGCAGACAGTATCTTCGTCGCTGTATTGTGAGAGTAAAAAATGAGAATTTATTTTTTTAATTAGAATGCAAGCTCTAATTTACTGGAGCTGTTACCACCTGGTAGGCATCAGATTTCAGTCCGCAAACCTTGTTTCTGACGATCCAAGGTTCTTGGACTAGAATCGAGTCCTCAGCTTTATCACTGAGGCGAAGAAGGGGAGCAGCAGAGGCTGCCTTTTAGTGGTGCAGATTAATTTGCAGGATCTGCACCATCCTCAGAATCGGTTATGTCCATTTCTTCTAGCTCCCGCCGCCGAGCGGGATGTCATTGTCCTCCTCCTACGGTCCGGATACCGGAAGCTGGTCCTCGTCCAGAGTTGCCCAACGACTGTAGACCGACCCTACGTAGGCAGATACTGAGCCCGTGACGCTCTCAGTATCTGTCGCAGTATCGGATACACTCGTTGGTGGGTCCACAAGTTCACTCGTGGTATTTCCTGTGTACCCCGTGCTGCCTGCCACCGATGCCGACTCGAGGGCCGCAGGCCCGCTCGAGGCGTTGCCTGTCTCCTCTTTTTGCTGATCCGGTCTCTGGTGGATTTTTACTGTAATGCAGTAAAAGCCGTAGCTAATTACCCCACCACAATCCTCGAGAACTGTGACAGAAGCATCGTTGATGACAAAGCCAACAAAACGCTGCTTCACCTTGGTCTCGCCAACTCGGACTATCCTCCAATCGCTGGTGGGCAGTCGTTCGTTGCCCAGTCGGATGAACTCGAGTATCTCTGCCAGTTTTGACGGCTCAGCTGGTACCCAGGCCCAGGCTCGCGGCCTATTAGGGATTTCATCCATATGGACAGCAACTAAGTTTGCCCCGGGCCACAGCTGTCCAATCGTGGAGATAGCTGCCTTATTGAGCCGGACCGCGCGCTCATCGGCGTACGCTACCAGCCTATATCACCCTTGATGCCATCCGGCATCCCGGACGACTGGTGCAGGGCCGTGGTACTTCTGGAGTATCCTTTTATATACCCTGCATAAACCCATCAGGACGGACTTCCAGTTGTCCCTTGTAATGTGGCCGTCCGGATGACCATTTGCCAACACCGGCAGCGGGTGGTGCTCTTTGACGGCTTCACTGAACGGCTTCGTGTTGGATACGGCCATAGACGGACGATTAGAGGGAGAGGAAGTCCTAAGCCGTTTGGATCCACTCGAGGTGTCCTCCTGAGGTCGCTGTACCTTGGAGGCAAGGTCCTTCCTTAGGTTTGCCCGAGTGGGTAGTTTGTCCTTCCCGCCTTTCCCGGAGGATCGCTTGTCGCTGGCGGCGTAGACTCCTTTTTGCTCCTCCGTCAGTTGGTCATGCGGGATGACCCCCAATCTTTTGATGACCTTAAGGACTGCAATTCGGTCACGCTGGGCCCCGACGGAGGGCGAAATTCTGATTGCTGCTTTGGAGCAGCCGGGGCGCAGATCGAGGTAATTTGACCCCGTCGTCGAGGATTTACCCGCTGGAGTGGTCCTCTGCTTGACCATGGAGGACTTGTGATCGACCACTTCACCTTGAAATTTCAGTATGCCCTAGATGGGCATGGGAGAGGAGGCCTTCCGCAGCTTTTCCGCAGGCTTCGACTTTCCCACACGGGGTATAGTTCCACCAGCATCTCTGGAGGTTTGCTTTCTCTCCGGGGGTTTAGAAATCCTTCCAGCTTCTGCGGAAGCCCGAAGTTGCTTGGGCCATTCAGGCCCTTTCGGTTCCGTCGATGCGGTTTCCGAGGTCGTTAGTGTTCATCGCCGTGCCCAGCGGCGGCACTACCCGTGCAGGGTTCCGAGGCTACTTTATTTTTTGTGTTCATTTTTCTGGTTCTTTGGCCACCTATTGAGCCGAGGCCTTTCGGTGGCCGGAAAATAATAAAAGGGGTCGACCACGGCAGAGCCCCATGCCGCAGCAAGTCCACCGTTACTCCCGGAGGCGGACAGGTATTATTATAAGCCTGAATTGATACAAAGGCTAATATATGTATTGATGTGGGTATATGAATAACGACCGCTTAAAATTGATCTCAAATTTGTACTTTCGCTGTAGAAATTTAAGGTCTATGTTATGTAGTTTGACTACCGTCAACTAAATCTAATGCTTTGTATTGCATGCACTCCACGTTTATTGTTTTCAATCTCATAAATTGTTTATAATGACTTTTGCTAAAATTTCAACATCAAAAGTTATCAAAACAAATTTTATGGGACTGAGAAATATTAATTTCTAATTTTTAGACCATTTTTAAAGGTCTGGTAAATTAAAAAGTTTTTTTTATTTTATTTACTATACATTCTTGTTTCTTTTCCACAATATTTTTTCATTGAAAACGGCCTCCAGCTCAATAAAATTGTTGAATATAATTGTTATAAGGCCATAAATAACAAAAACAAACACCTTGGATGAGCACACCTAAAAGCTAAACATTCTAAAAATAGAATTAGTAGGTTTTTGCTACAACAAAACCGACAACCACATAATCAAGTGTTAATTGCAGCCGAATAACTGCGCTTAATTGTAGTGGGCTCACATGAATTAAATAAAATTAAAAAAATTATAAATGAACTAAAAAGTAGAAAGCAATATATCTCAGTCCCATAGAATTTGTTTTGATAACTTTTAAACAGTTTATGAGGTTGGAAACGAAAAACGTATTGCACATGCAATACAAAGCATTACATTTAATTGACGGTAGTCAAACTACATAACATAGACCTAATATTTTTACAGAGAAAGTAAAAATTTGAGATCGATTTTAAGCGGTTGTTATTCATATACCCACATACATACATATATTACTCTTCATATCAATTCAGGTTTATTACATGCGCCTGTATATGCACCACATACACATTCTAATGTGTGAAATTCAGTTTGTATGGGAGGTGCCACGCCCAATACTCCCATTTTTCCCATGAGTTTGGCGTTGATATTATATATCTCTATACTAAGTTGCAGCACTCTACGATGAATACTTCCAGAGATATGTTGTGTGAAAACTTTAGTTTGTATGGGAGGTGCCACGCCCAATACTCCCATTTTTCCCATGAGTTTGGCGTTGATATTATATATCTCTATACTAAGTTGCAGCACTCTACGATGAATACTTCCAGAGATATGTTGTGTGAAAACTTTAGTTTGTATGGGAGGTGCCACGCCCAATACTCCCATTTTTCCCATGAGTTTGGCGTTGATATTATATATCTCTATACTAAGTTGCAGCACTCTACGATGAATACTTCCAGAGATATGTTGTGTGAAAACTTTAGTTTGTATGGGAGGTGCCACGCCCCTTGATATATTGAAATTATTCTTCTTCCATTATCATCCTTTGAGGGTCTAGAGTCGAGGTCCAAAATTTCAAAAATATCGGTACAGCTGTTCTCGAGTTTTTCGATAAGAAAACAACGGCTTTCAAAATATATATCAGTATAGATGGCAAATTAAAAGTATTTTTTATTTAAATGTTTCCTATGGAAAAATGTTTATGAATAGTTTTTTAAATAAATGCAGGCATTTGAAATTAGTTTCAAGAATTTTTCAAAAAAATTGGAAGTACTCAAACGTAAAAATTTGTTTTCTTTCATTTTTCAACATAAATAAATAAAAAATTTGAGCTTTTTTAAAAAATCCCCACGGGTAGGTCGACGCGAACTTTAATCATCTCTTATTTAAAAAAAATGAAACTTGAAATCGGTTCATATTTGGACTCTCAAAATTGATTTGTCCATAGCAACCTTTTTTGCCCCACTGTGGGTCGTTGGATGGAATCCCACTGAAAAAAATCTGATGAGGAAATTTGGTGATTTCCGAAATAGCTAACCCTTCTACCATTTTTATAGGTTATTGTTGTCTTTCCACAATAGTTTCGTATTAAAAACGGCCTCAAGCCCTCGGCAGGCAATGGCAAACCTTCGAATGTATTTCTGAAATGAAAGACAGCTTCTCATAAAAATATACTCTCCGTTAGGAGTCGGCGTGAAACTGTAGGTCCCTCCTCTTTGTGTGACAACATCAAGGCGCACGCCACAAATCGGAGGAGAAGCTCGGCCAAACACTATCATATGTGTAAGCGCCAATCTATTATTATTATTTTATATGACTGCCACTTCTTTACTACTGAAATATGTATATGTTTTGAATTCTTTGAGAATTTTGTGGAATAAGTTTTTAAGATGTGGGTAATTGAGGGATATTTTCCCAATTTTCTTGGGGTTTTTAACAGAGAATGTCTAACTAACTGCTGTAACTGCTTACAGTACGCTACTTGCAGATATTTTTCAATCGATGTAGTTGTCGTTTGCAAAGCAAATACTACTTGTCATGATATTGATCGGTTTTTTACTTACGCATACTCCAATCGGTTTGTGTCTGCCCGCACTCAAGTATAGAATGGAGGGATAAAGAGGGTGAGTAATTGCGCTGCTAACAAATGTCTTGTTAGGCGACTCAAATGTATACGTGCAATGCATTAATACGAACAGTGTCGCATTTATTTACCCTGCGCGATACTCATTTGTCAAACTGCCTCGTAAATGTAATATTCTCCAATCCCAAAAAAAACCTATTGTATTATATTATATTAGCAATATAAAAATATTATCTATGTATATGGTTAGATAAATTTTTCATTATGATTATTACAGATACTATATTTATTTACGTTTTCGTTTTGTTTTAAAGGTATGGGAACTTCGCAAGATCGTGCAGTTGCAGCTACAATGCATGCAGCGAAAATTGCACACTTAAATGCAATGGGACAAGGGTTCGATAACATACCGCCTACGTTGATGCAACAACATCCTGATTTTCCCAACAATTCCATTACAAACGACGTTTTTACAAATGAAGAGTGTGGAGCAGCAGACCTTTCTACTGAACCCATTTTAAAACAGCAACTTTCAAGTAGTGCTTTGCCAGGTGAAAACACTCTAGCAACTGCTTCATCAATATCAATGCGCCAAGATTCGTCCGATTTCGCAACTTCCATAGAGTGCCAGTCAAAGGAAAAAACTAAAATTCTAGATAATAAACCTCAAACTTCATATAAAGGTTTAGAAAATTTTGGGCATGAGAAAATGTTTATAGAAAAGAAAATAACGCCAAAAGCTTGAAAATCAACTTTTTACGAATGTGTATGTATGTAGTTATACACGAAAAATTAAAAAAAAATGTTGCGAAACTTGGAACCCCATATGCCCACGGTGACCATATACATACATAAATATTTGAAGTATAAATAAGTCAGAAAGTTTCATATATACACATAAATATAATTTTTCTTCGTTCGACTTCACAATACAATTAAAATTACTTTGTACAATGAAAGCACCTTCTTTTTTCGGTTGATCTTAAAATGCCATTTTAAAGATAAAATAATGTAAACAAAATATTTTTAAAAAAGATCTTTTATTTGCCCTGTGAAGTGACATAAAATAATGTAAGTTTAGGCTTTCGTTATGGTAACTAAGAAAAAAATGTCAAGGAGACTTTCTTAAATTGGTTTATCAACTTCAATAAATACGTATGTACATATGTATTTGAAATATATGTTATCTTTATCCTTTAAAAATTGTATTTAATTATTTGTCCCCAAATGCTAGTCGCACAAGTTATAATGCCTAAGAACTTCCAATTTAACCGATTATTATACTCATACGTGGATTGCTATCGACAGTGAAATTTCTCGGCAAGCTTTTTAATAATAATTTAATATGCTTGCCTGATATAAGTTGACACCAGCGAGGAGTTCATACCCTTCCAGAATATTCTGACACCCCGCTGGTCAACACGCACATCCGCTTGTCATTTCGCCATAACAACAACCAACAATAAGCAATAAATACTAACAGTAAGCAATATTCCTCTCAGCATATATCGATCAACGAAAAGTTTGGCTGACTTCCAAAAGGTATCAATACAATGTTTGGAAACTGTTATATTGCGGTATTCAAACTGTTTTTATATGCGGAGTTGCAACACATTGCAACCATATACATTGCATGTTTTAAATATTCAATATAGCAATGAACAATTTTTCTGAATTTTCCATTTCTAAAACACCAATGGTAACCAATAACAAACGAAACATCAACTTTGTTTCTGATGCGCTGATTGCTCCAGCAATGCGTTTCGATAACTTTTCGGATGCGTTTTGGAACAGTATACATTGTGAATATTTTGTAGTTCAACGTTATGGAACCTTATACTTTGTACGTATGCAAAGCAATTGACGTTTTGGAAGTCAGCCTTTATTCCCTCCGAAAAGTGCTGACACTTCGCTAGTGTGCACGCACATTCGCTTTGTCAGTTCGATGCAGCGTAAACAGATAGCGATCAACACGAGTTATTTCCCACCAAAAGCGCTAACACTTCGGGTGTGTTCGAGCTACGTACTATTTATTGCAATATTGCAGCCTTGTTGCTTTCTTGATGATGCTCAACTGAAAATCTTCTGGAATGCTGCAGAATTGCCAATGATGAGCAACTAATTGTAAAAATTTTGTTCATTGAACGCTTGATGTAGGCAAAGTCTCTCAAAGTAACAGTGCTGTATTGATTGCTGCTCGAATACACCTTTCATTGCGGCTTCACCGGAATCTAAGTAAGAGAATCTGGCAACGAGCACCAACAACTAAATATCCACAGCGACAAACAACGACTAGGTAAAATTAAGGTTTAAATAATAATTTCTTACCCTTGTAATTGTAATTCTGCGTATGCACTTGCGGTTAACGGTTAATCTATATAGTAGGGAAATAAATAAAAATACAAAACCTAAGTGTCTCGGGTTTTACTGGCGCCCACCCTGGGCCACGCGAATAAATATCCTGGTAAAAGGATAATCGTGGCCATGAGTTCGAACTAGAGGGCTGCATGAATGCATTCAAAACGGCTTATGTATTATTCATATACAAACCGAATGAATAGCTTTTCTGATATTTGTGTCGACATTACAATATTCAAACAAAGTGAAAATTAATTAAATTGAAATAAATGACTATTTTTTGTAAGAATATCCAAAATTTTTTTTCTATGCACATATGTACAAACATACATATGTATGTATGTATGTATGTATTGCTGTGCTCCTATTATACAGGGTGTCCCAGAAGTAACGTGCCAAACTTTAGGGGAAGGTAGGTGGGCGGGGTGAGCTCACTGATAAACAAATATTTACATTTTTTTGAATTTAAAAAAAATCGTGCCTTTTCATGTGTTTTCTTTAACTGCAACTACAAAGCGGGCAATACTTAGTAAATTTTTTATGTAAAATACTTCCAGATAGTTGCCTCTCCATACTCAANTGTTACTTACCGGAATTCGGACTAGAGTCTATAACAAGGGCTATATCTATCAATATTTTGTGTGAAGGATGGGTTCACGTGAAATAAGATATACATGAGTTGTTTGAAGAAAAATTTATTCATTTATTGATAAAATATGCTCAAATTGGCGACCTTCTACTCTAAAACAAGCTCGGCACCTTTTAAGAAAATACGCTTTTAGAGATCTTAAACTCAATTGGGCTATCTCAGCAGCAGCTCCATTTATTTGTTCCCGCAAATGCTCTTCGTTTTGAATCGTTTTTGAATAAATTTTGTCCTTAAGACAGCCCCAGTAGAAAAAATCTAATGGATTCAGGTCTGGCGATCGAGCGGGCCACGTGATTGACCCGTATCGGCCAATCCATCGGCACCCGACCACCCCCCCACCTACCTACCCCCCAAGTTTGGCACGTTACTTCTGGGACACCCTGTATACGAAAAAACTTGATTGTAGAAAAAAACTTTTACCGAAATGAGCTTAAATGATTTGAAGGTTTTCTATTCATTCATTCACATTCTTCTATTTGAAGGTAGAAAGTATAAAACAAAATGTATATTCATAACTTACAAAATTCCAAACGCTGAGTGTTTGGTATGTGAAATAAAATATTAAAATCTACTGTACTCTGTTTGGCTAGAAGTTTGAATGAATTCATGCAGCCCTCTAGTTCGAACCCAACATGATAAAAACATAACAAGGTAAAACCATTGAGAGGCAGTCTGACGTTTGCCATCAATATAATTTTAAAATCAAAACTCAAACTCACACACACATTCTCATTTTCAATCTCAAACAACAACAATTGTGAACAATTTAATTTTTTTATTTTCAATTTTATATGATTTTAAAATGTTGGCAAACGTCAGAAAAAAATCATGGCCGACGAAATGAGAGAATGAATTTACCTTGTAATGTTTTTATCATGGAACCCACTATAAACTTTTGATTTCAATAAAGTGTTCAAAATATTAACTTTTCATACGAAAAGGAACAAAGTTGTTGTGAATAAAAGTATACCTATAAAAAGAACAAAGTATAACCTTGCAAAGAAAATAAATATAAGAACGTACAGTGATTAACAGAACCTGAAAATTTTAATTAAATAAAAAAAAAACATTAGAAGATATTAGAAATTCCAAATACTAGTGGAACTGGAAGTATCAGTAAATCCTTTGTGAAAAGTAAACTAAAAGGTAAAAGCAACTTATTAAAAATATATTTAAATTCCAAAGCAATAAATTTAATTTGAATAGCACTCTACGCCGAGGCGTCGCTAATGGGGGATCATCCAAAAATCCAGAACTTCTCCAACCATCCAAATCGTCTCCAAACATCCAGATCATGATCCAGTCGTTATCAACAATCCAGGATATGCTGGTATTTTTTTGTAAGTCTAGATTAACGTAGTTTAAGAAAACTTGTACAAATTTCAAAACTTCTAGAGACTCAAAAAATTTTCTGTAAAATAATTCTCAGACGTGTATTGAAATAGTTTCGACTTCTTTAGAACGGATCCACAGACAGTTAAAGCGTGATTAATTTATAATAAACTAATATTCTATCTATAGATACAAACGAAATAAAAATACAATAATTTCAAATAAATTTATATTATTTATTTTTTTTATTTATTTATGTAGGAACGTATAAACAGAGGGTAATCATTTACCTACTACAAACAAATACAACTCTGCACATAGTGCGAGGGGAACCCTGACTAGATAGAAAAGGACGAAACAAAAATAACAAAAACACGAAGACGAAACTACAAAGACACTTGTTGCGCGACTTTAAGCCCGAACAGACGTGGTAATACTCACACTCGCTGTTATGTTTAAGTTTTACATGTACCTAAGCCTAGAGTGTTAATTAAAAGTACTCATTAATTAAATCAATTTTATTAATACAAACATCAAAGCTATACGTGTTTTAAGTGCCCTACACTCGGTAAACCCTACAATTGGTGTCAGAGTAGGATTCGTTAAAAATATTCTACGTCTTGTGACAAGTGCTGTGCGGGAGCATTTTCTTGCCAATTTTGTGACACTTTTAACAAAGACGGTTCAGAAGCTTTTATTTGCGCAACATATGTACACAAGAGTATTATCGCAGTCCATTTTTCGGTACGGTTGAAATTTTGTCCAGTGCGTTAATATATAACAGTCGCCAAACTGTACCACGAATTCTAGGACACAACTAGGGCTGTTATTGTCGAAAAAATTCGAATTCCGTTAAACGCCGGACAAAGCACCAGCTAAGTGCGGCGCACAAGTGAAGCAGCAGCACACGAGGGCGTCAAATCTTCAGCTACAAAACGCGAGCTGCGTTAGTTAAGCAGCAGAGACGTCGAAGCAGCAATTGTGTACACTGGCCCGTCAATTGAAATCCTACGGTTCAATCAGATATAGCCGACGCTCTGGGTGAAGCAGCAGAATACATCACCGCTACATGTGCTCATGCATATTCTGTGTATGTATTCAGTCAGCAAATATCTTAACTTGTGGGTGAAGCATTAACACTCAGAAGCAAAGTACATACGGTAAAAGAGTGCAGCCTCTGTGTGGGGCAGCGGACTAAACCAACAGCATAGCTTCTGGGGGAAGTAGCAGTGCGCAGGCATCGGAGCTTCTGTGTGAAGCGGCATTGCGCAGTCAACGAAACGGCAAAATAGAGTAGTTCTGTGCAGAAACAGTGCAAGGTAAACCCAAGCAGCCTTTGCGTGCGGCAGCAGATCGTACCAACGAAACAGCTTCTGTGTGAAGCAAAACAAGTACGCAGGCAACAAAACGTCTGTGTGAAGTATTTGCGTATAGAATTTGTGCGCACTAAAGGCACGCAGCCTCTGTGGCGGGAGCAGAGGGCACCACCGTAACAACTTCTGTGTGAAGAAAAATAAGTGCGCAGGCAATAAAACATCTGAGTGAAACAAACGCGCGCAGACAACAAGACTTCTTTGTGAAGCATTTGCGTACAGAATTGGTTAACAGTAAAGCCAAGCAGCCTCTGTGTGCGCCAGCAGAGCTTACCACCGTAAGTGGTGAAGCAGAGAAGTGCGCAGTTAACAAATTTTCGGTGAAAAGCAGAGAAGCAAAACCAAAACGTCGTGCTAGCAACGCAGCAAACGCCAACATTGTCGCAGTTTGGAGTTACAATCAGCACGAGTGCAGCGAATAGGGGTTATTTACAACGAAAACACATCTTCCTGAAGATAACGACTGTCATCACACAGCAAGTGTATGTGTA